TAACCTTCTGGAACTGTAAGCAACCCCCCAGTTAAACACTTTCTCTTCTATTAGCTGCTTTGGTCATGGTGTCTCTTCACAGCAACAGAAGTGTGACTAAGACAGCAGGCCTCTGTCCAACCCTCTTCCTCTCCAAGGCCACTTTGCATGTCTGTCTCCTGTTCAGACACTGTGCCGGGACATCACCAGGTTTGATAACCTGTTGATTATTCTGTTTCTAGGTCACCCGAGTAGTAGCTCAATCACACAAAGACCTTCTCATGATACTGCCTTGCATTGTGGGATGCTGGGGGAGATTCGGTATGTTCTTATCCAGTGCTGGCCTGCCATACCCGAGAAGGTGCTGTCAGAAGAGATTCTCACTCAGGATTTAAGGCTTTTGAGAATTGTGGGTTTCTTATGTGGCCAGAACAGCCAGTCAATTGTCAGCAGGGCTACCTGGCTTACCGTGTGGTCATGGCTTTGGCATCGTGGGCTTTTCCCTACTTTACTCTGAATCACTTTGTTTCTTCGTGCCTCTTAGCTTAGCTGTGATGGTGGTCTGAGCGAGATGTCCCGCATCATCTCAGACATCTGAACGCCTGGTGTAAATCCAACGTGAGCTCTTAGCTGCTGCTCCGGCTGCCTTTCCTGCTGCCCCTGGTCCACTAGCATGGACTCTGGAACCATAAGCCAAGAACGATCCCCTTCTTCTCTAAGTTGCCTTGGCTGTTTTTTTTTTTTTTTTATCACAGCAACCACAAAGTAACTAATACCACTGTCTCATGACTCTGTTGACTCTTGGTGCTTTTTTTTTTTCCTTCTCTCCTTTGTTACCACAACTTTTCTTGTTCATGAAGCTACACAGAGGAAGGAGGCTTCTAATGTAACACCTCACCCTCCTGGCTCTCTCCAGAATCCCAAAGACATTGCTTTCCTGTCTGCCTGCTGCATAAGTGAGTATCTCCCCAGTCCTGCCCAAAACACTCTCACTAGGATTTTTTGGTTTTGTTTTGTTTTTTCGAGACAGGGTTTCTCTGTGTAGCTTTGCGCCTTTCCTGGGACTCACTGTGTAGCCCAGGCTGGCTTCGAACTCACAGAGATCTGCCTGGCTCTGCCTCCTGAGTGCTGGCATTAAAGGCGTGCGCCGCCGCCGCCGCCGCCGCCACCTGGCAAGGATTTTTAGTTCTTAAGGGTTCTATCCCAACCAGTCATTTGAAAACCAACCATCTCAGACCTAAGGAGGCAGGAGCTGAGAACTGTGCCTCCTCCGCACTCACGTGACAGCAGCGGTGAGTTAAGAGGGGCAGGAGTGTCGGAGGCTGAGGTTGGACAGCAGCGAAAACAGAGCATCAATGTCATGGAGTCACCCTGTCTTCTCCCAGACCCTAGGGCTTGAGTGGAGAGGCATCAAATGCCATCCTGGGGGACCTCCCTTCAGGGAAAGGCCTTGGGGGCTCCACTCAGTTCTTCCACTGTGAGACCGAGACCAGTGGAGAGGAGGAAGTGAGAAGGGAACACAGGACAGGCAGGATGGTGGCTCAAATGAAGGCAGAGGTGGGAGGTTGAGGCAAGGCGGGGTCTGCCATGCCCACCCAGCAGAGGGGAGAGAAAACCACAGCACACACAGCATGTCTGGAGACAGGTGGCATTTAAGGCTGAGGGGCTGAAGCAGGCCAGCAGGGCCCCCAGGCCTCAGTGGAAGCTGACCCAGCCACTGCGCTCCCAGGTGTATGCCTGCTGGGCACCGGCACACGTGACACCGTCAGCACGTGTGGTTCACCATCAGGCACATGCACGTGCCCATACCGCCAGCTCAGAGTGGTAGTGTCTCCTCTCTGAGGGCACCCGCCTAGTGTGCTGAGCACTCGTATTTGATGTGGTGACCTTCAGGTGTGGGCGTGACATTGAGGGGCTTGGGGAGCGGGCTGGGCACAGGGGCCTCAGGATGTCCTTGCTCAGCCTGCACACAGGACAGGGGGCAGAGTGAAGATAGCCAGTGCAGTGTCTTCAGGACGCCGACATCCTCACAACTCTCCTGAGTGACCGGGGAGCTTTTCCTCGAGGCAGACACAGCACTGGGAACCTTTTGTGCCATGGCCTGCCGCAAAGCACATACTCTTAACCTACGGCTCCCCATTTTCTGTTGTGAGCTTTCTGAGCATGCCATAGGCCCCCCTCTCCCTGGCTGCATGGGAGTCGCCCCACTTTGTGTCATCATCAGGATGGGGAATGGTGCGTGAAGATAGTTTGAGAGGGAGACTACATTCATATAATTATATTGTGACAGTACAGCACAGTGCCGAGTTTCCTCCATCTTGTATCCTGGCTGAGGCCGTTCACATTTAACTCGAATTGGATCTCCTTGTTGGAGACTCTTATGGAAAAATACTCAGCTCTATTCTAGGAGCCCAAGGTCAGAGTGTTCTGGCTGACTTAGCTTCTGTTAAATTGCCCACTGATGCAAACCTCCCCCCTGCAGATGCCAAGTAAGACGCCAGAACGTGGTTTCTGTCTTCAAAAACCCTGTGCTCTGGACACTCAGTGCTACACTTGAGTCCTGAATGCCTGAGTGTAGTCCCAGCCAGCTGGAATAAAGACTTTCAGTTGGCTACAAACCGTGTCTGAGTAGAGGCTATATCCAGCCTGTGTCTGGCAGGTTCCCCTTAACAATATCACTAATATAGCTCATTCTATTATTTATTATTGTCGTAGTTAGGGCTTCTATTGGTCTGATAAATGCCATGACCAAAGGCAAAGTGGGGAGGAAAGGGTTTATTTCATCTTACAGCTCACAGTCATCAGAAAAGCCAGGGCAGGGACTCAATGCAGGAACCCAGAGGCAGGAACCGATGCAGAGGCCATAGGGGAGTACTGCTTACTGACTAGCTTTTTATGACTTGCTCAGCTTACTTTCTTCTAAAACCCAGGACCACCAGCCCAGGGGTGACATCACCCACAGTGAGCTGGCTTCTCCCTCATCAATTATCAAGCAAGAAAAACGCACTGTGAGCTTGCTATTGGCCAGTCTGGTGGGGGCATGTTCTCAATTGACGTTCCCTCTTCCAAAGTGGCTCCAGCTCATGTCAGGTTGACATAAAACCAGCCAGCACAGTTGCTATTCATCTCACTGTGCCTAATTTTAAACTGTATTCTTGGCATGGATGTACAGAAAAATACAGCATAGTGTACAGCTGGTCTGAGACCACCCATGGTTCTAGGTATCCACTGCTGGTCTTGACTGTGTCAATGGTGATGTGTCATGCTTAGAATGGCATTCCTTAAGTGTATCAGAGTACATATTGTGCATTAGTTTATAATGCACATAATTTTTCATACTTTTTGAGGTACTGAAGGAGGGTTGAAACCAGGACCTTGTACTTGTTAAGCCTCACCACGCATCCTTTGCGGCCACCCTTCTTCCAGGTTTTCAAGATCATCCAGTTAATTTTAAACTATCTAAAGGGATCAACTAATCTTTAAGTTTTGTTGTCATTTCAAAGAGTACCCACAGCTATCTGTGGAGGGGGGTACTAAAATGCCAACCACACAGCTGTGATCATGGCTTTTCTTTGCATTTAGATCTTCAATGGGTCTCCACAGGAGTTGGTTTCCAGATTCACACACCACAATTTCTCTTTTCCCCAAAACCAGGAGATGTTTACTCCTATGTTTTGATACAGTTCACTGGCTGGAGGTGATTGGAAACACAATTGGATTGCTGGTTTGGGGGATTTATCACACCCTGGAACATTCTTAGTTCAACAGGTGGAGCTATAACTTATTTTCTGGGGGAAATGTGGCGACAGTATTTTCCACGCCAGCCCACAGAGAAAAGGAAGCACTTGTGTGCAGATTGGTCGAGAGAGACAGAACAGTGCAGGTGGTTCCTGCCTTTGGTTCCGCCTCAAATCAGTGTACTTCTGTGAAATGACCTCATGATAGGTTAGCTCCTACACAGGCTACTGCCAGTCAGATGCTGGGACAGACAGACAGACAGACATGTCAAATGGACATGATACAAACATCTAACCTTTTGTGTAGCCCGCAACACTATTTTTAAGTTCCTGTCACTACCTTAGAAGCCAACTCTCTCGCCTCCCTTTCCCCGCCTCTCTCCCTGGATGTCACTCATTCCTGACCCCTTTTCCTGCTAGGCTGCTTCTGCCCCTCTGCTGACCTTCCTGTAGGGTTTTACAGCAGCTTCCATTGTTTCCAGTTTGTGTGTGTGGGTGCCTGTTTTAACCCAATTCCCTCCTAACTCTTCAAACAGACGCCCATCTATATTGCCTTCTTCACCAACTCTATCCTCAAATCCACTCAGTCTGACTCGCTCCGCAAATACGGTCCTGAGACTGGCCTGGTCAAGCACTGGATGCTCCACCTGCTCTCAGCTCTGAAACACCATTCACCTTGCTGCCTGTCACTAGCGAAGCCACAACCCAGTGGCTCTGCCTGTCGCCAAAGTGTCTTGCTTCAGGAAGTTGCCATCTTCCATGCAGACAATGGTCACACTCCTGTTAGATTTTTAGTTTGAAAAATTAAAGCCATTCATAAAAATAGGGTGAAAAACACAATAAGAGCCCATATGCCTTACACACCCCTTCAACTCCAAGTCAATTTTATGGTCAGATCTTCGCCATGCTTCTCTCTTTCCTAGGATCACTTCAAATATGTTTTCATCTGCAAAAATTTCAGTGTGCATTTCTGTCTGACAGGGATCCCACTTTGAAGCAAAGACTCTGCCAGGTGTAGTGCTCACATCTGTAATCCCAGCACTGGTGATGCTGAGGCAGGAGGATGAGGAGTTCAAGGCCAGGCTGGCTACAAAGCAAGACTTTGTCTCAAAAAAATCAAAGTCAAACACCAAAGGAAACCAAGCCACATCGCTAGTATCAAAAGCACACATAGATAGATACTAGCAGCTATCTATCTGTTGAATAAACTGCTGTGTTTATTCAATGTTACATTCTTTCTTTGTAACTTCGTCTAGCAAGAATCTACACAGTTGAATTTGGAATAACTTTCTTAGCTACTACAGACGCCCCACCCATCTTCCTTACTCTTCATAGACTGCTGGAGTCGAAGAATTGAGGTGTTACACCCCGCAGAGGGTGCTTTTTACTATTTGAGTGTGCTGATTCATTCCGGAACCCTCTATCTTGTTTCTCTGTCCACCATGCTTTAGATGCACTGGTAGGGTTGATGATAAAATTCAAGCTTGTGTGTGTGTGTGTATGTGTGTATGTGTGACTAATTCTGGGAAGACGTTGTAAACCCGAGGTTTGTCCTTTCTGGTGGCAGCTCTCAGTGTCTGTAGGTGAGCCTTACAGATTTGTGTTTTAGCCTCGGCAGTGAGTATGTGCTTACTGAAAGCTGTGGAGTGCTGTGTCTATGTCCATGAGACAGTGGCTAGAAAAACCACTCCAGAGCAGGCCGATGAGTTAGAGCAGATCACAGCACAGTTTCCCCCACGCCTCTGAGAAAAAAAAAAAAAAAAAAAACCGGTAGCAGAATGGTATTCAAAGAGGTAAGCCTTTGTGTATCTATTGAAAAACAATGACACTTTGGAAAACATCTCTTCGGAAAGTGACAGCCGGGGCCGAGAACACCTGTATCTCAGGATCTTAGCTAAACAGAGGTGAGCCCTCTGCCGAAACCACTTCCTGGTGGAGCAACAACCAATTACATCTGTTCTCTGCACCTAGCATCGTTTCTGTAGATGGGGGAACTAAGTTTCAGACAGGTGAAACCAGTTGCTTGCCCAAAGACACACAGCTGCTACTTTGAAGAGCGCAAGGATTAGATCAGTGGTTCCCAACCCGTGGGTCATGACCCCTTGCATCAGATCAGATCTCCTGCACATCAGATATTTACATTACAATTCATAACAGTGGCAAAACGACAGTTATGAAGTAGCAATGAAGTAACTGTATGGTTGGGAGTCACCACAATGTGAGGAGCTGTATTAAAGGGTCGCAGCATTGAGAAGGCTGGGAACCCCTGTATTAGATAAGGGTCTTCGGGCCCCATCACAACCTTCTTCACCCTACACGGCAGGCCCCATTCACTGTGTGGATCAGAAAAGCCACCAGCAAACAGAGGTGACTTTGAGCAAAGAGTACACCCCAGATAAAAGCAGAATGTTTTCTAGGCTGTGCAATGACCCCAGGACCCCCCAGTCGTATGTATTTGATGTTAAATAGAGGAAACTGAGTAGACTGCAGACTTGCCATGGTGAAAAACCTTGGTGTCACAGCCTGCCAGCAGCCCCTGGCAGGGGACAGCCCTGGCTGTTTGGTGACTCCCTCCCTCCCTCGGCAGCCAGCCAGACTCTGCACCTGCCATTCCACCGCGCACAGACTGACGGTGGCCACGCTGGATACTGGAGGGCTCTGCTGTCCTCACTAAGTAGAGAGTGCTAATTTAGGATCCTGGCTGTGCCACTGGAAAACCAGCAAGGGTCATCTTGATGGCTCCCGAGGCCTTCCAGACTCTGCTGCCAGAGGCTTCCCAAATAGCTGAGTTAGCTTGGCTGCTCCAAGGTACTTCAGTCCTTTACGATTCCAGGAGCACCCTCCTATTTGAACCAGGCCATTGCATGACCCGAGTACACAAGAGGTGAAGGAGAGGATACAGATCATGCAGTGTATGCTAACCACCAAAACCTGAACAAACAATCCAGAGGTGGAGAAGGCCTAGAGGACTAAACCAGAGTCACAACGAGCAGTGACAGAGTCACTCTCTTCCCCACCATCCTCAGCTGTAAACTTTGACAGACCCGAATGGCAAACTGTAAACACCTCCATATTTGTTCTGCATAGGTTGCACAGGTAAAGTCTTCAGAGCATGTCTCAGGCAGTGGTGCCTATGAAACAGCATTGGCTCTGCTGAGAAGCTTCTAGACTTCCCAGGTATCAGATGCCTCCAGAGCAAGGGGCTTGCCTATCAGTGTGCATAGTGCCCGGAGTGCATGCTGGGAGTTGCACATGGGTGCACTTACTAAGCACGGGTCACCCGCATGACCTGCACATGCTGTTCTTCTCCACTGACCTTGAGCTAGAAGTGTCTGTCACTTCAGTGTGTGGTGAAAGACTGTTGTTACCTCAATGGAAGTATTCCACACACACACCATAGTTTCTCCCATCACTTCTGCGTGCCCAAACTCCAGTACCTTCGGAAGAGAAGAAATGACCTTCTATGATCTTTCTTTACTGCAGAGTGGCATTAATCACAAAGAATCATCTTTGTCACTAAAAGAAAAATTCTGGACTCCATTATTGCACAATCTAAAACGAGACGGTGAAATTGAAGACCGGCTAGGTGGCATTTTTCTTGGCTGGAAATAGATCCACAGTTATGGCTGGTAAGAACTAAAGGGAGAGCAGGCCTACCAGTATCGCTTTCCCTGGCATTTTCTGAAAGCTTGGGTTAAATTTTAAATCACCCCAAGCCTTGATTTCCTCCCCGGGGAAAGCCAGGGGTCAGCTAGGGAATCTTGTCTTAAACACAGCTTTCTTAGGCTAGCCTTCCTGGGGCAGCTCTGAACTAGCGCTCCCCTCCCAGGCTGCCTTTCTTTCTTTGTCACAGAAGTGCAGGGCTGTTGGATTGGGAAAGGCTCTTACAGGGGGGCCTGGCTGTGACTTCACGCTGAGTGATACACAGCCACCCTGGACGCAAGTGGGACCATGGCGTGGATGCTGGATGTGATGCTTGGATGTGATGCTTGCCCTCACGGCTTCACAGCAAAGATAAGGACGTTCACTCCAGGTAGAACTAAGTCATTTCAGCCCCCGAGAAGGCAAAGACAAGAGTTCACAGAATGCCCTGTGCACAAATGTTACTTGTTACATTTGGCAAATATCACTCATGCAGGTTTCATGGAGAAATGGAAGCTGGGGCCGATAATATGTCTTAGTGCAAATGCTTTTCAGTGTGTCCTTGGCAGATTCGATGGGACAAAACCCCCACAGAAGCCTTCACCCCGGAGACAGTTCCTAAAAGCCTGTTGCTGACGGTCTGATTGATTTGTTGCGTGACCCTCACAAGGCAACGGGGAGGTTTCTCTTGGGCAGCTGGGAGGGCTAACAAGAGGAAGACCTGCCAAGACAAGTCATCCGGCAGAACTTGCTGAAACTCTATTTCTAGAACTTGGAATGCATATGAACCTGGATGGCACCAGGGAGTCGCCCTGGCTGGTTTTTAGTGCCCTTGCAGCGACCGTTTGCAATCTTTGCCCTCACATGACTCGGGCAGGTGCACATTCCAGCATATTCCAAATAGTTTCACTGCACATGTGGAGAGTTAGCTTCACCTCCACCTCACCCTCACTCCATGGACAAGGCTTCTCCACACTGGCATATGGGGGGAAAAAGAAAATAAACAGAAGCCGAATTCGTTCAAGGTCCTTGTCCATCTGGAGGTGTGAATGGCTCATGAGTTGGAGTGAAAGGGACAGCAGCATATTTTAAGCTGATGCGCAAGATATTTTACTTTAAATTTACTTTTACTTTATGTGTCTAGGTGTTTTATCTGCATGCAGATCTGTGTACGTGTGTGCAGTGTCTGTGGAGGCCAGAAGAGGGCGTCAGGTCCATTGGAACTGGAGTTACAGATGCTTGGGAGCTACCATGTGGGTGCTGGGATTTCAACTTGGATCCTCTGGGAGAGCAGCAAATGCTCTTAACCACTGAGCCATCTTTCCAGCTCCCTGAGATACAATTTTAATATATCTGCACGCAGCCTTCACACTCGTTCATTCTTTTTTCACAGTCTACACATGTGGCTGCTTCTCTGCTAGGCCCCATTCATCGCCTGACAGCAAGTCTTGTCTGCAGGCTGGCGTTCTCCTGAGAGCTCCGAAGAAGTCGCACATAGGAGATAACAGGAAACTACATGGTACTTCCTCTTGCTAACTCTTTGAGAGAGGGGGCAGCACGTCTTATCTCTAGAGAAGGAATGTTGACTGAGCCAGACAAATGGCCAGAGCGGAAAATTTGAAAATTTTATGACATCAACGTAAAGTGAGGGTTTTTAAAAAGTTCTATTAATGAGCACCCAGCAGGAACATAGCCACAACCATCTAACTGAAGTAACTTATAGTCTATCTTTAAATACGTGTGTGTGCATGAGTGTATACGCATGCAGGTGGCCTTGGAAGTCAAAAGAGGCATGGGCTCCCCGGAGCTGGAGTTACAGGTGGTTATGAACCAGCGGCATGATGTCAGTGCTGGGGACTAAACTTGGGTTCTCTGCAAGAATACTAAATTCTCTCAATATTCTAATTGCATAATTTCCCTCTGAATTCTTTAGAATCTACTCTGGGATTGAAGGTGGCTATTGTTTCCTTTCCCTTACTATTTTCTCCATGAAAATTAGTCTATATTATCAACAGGTAAAACAAATGCCAAGTCTGACAGTCAGGAATTCTGTATATAGGAATAAGTCTACAGAGGAAAGGAATAGTTGCTTCCCATTTATCCCTGATTTCAAAAGGAGCTGACACAGGGACAGAAGAAACTTTTGTTTCTGAGAGATGAGAGCTGGCAAATTCAAGACCTGACCTTCTTAGGAATCTTTCTCCCTAAGGCCTTAAACTAGACAGTGGTAACGGGCAAAGATACCAACCTTCAGGTGCATGCAGGCGACAGTCTGGTTGTTCTTTCTTCCCTCCCCTCTGCCCCCACTCCCTCCCTCCCTCCCTCCCTCCCTCCCTCCCCCTCCTTCCCCTCCTTCTCCCTCTTCACTCCCTCTCACCTCCCTGTTTCTTGGAGATAAAAGTCTTTCTACAGTAAGAATCAGCGGCTACAAAGCTGAGTACCCCCGGTGAATATTTCACTTGGAAAACACATCGTGAACAGTACAGCCCTCACCCTCCGCGTTATGATGACGAAGTCTGGTTTCACTCACATAAGTGTTTCAGGTTTGTTTCCTGCCCTTTGTATAGAGAGCAAGTGAGGGCTGAGAGCAGCCGCTGGGGGAGGCCAGCTAGCCTTTGGGAGTTGCTCCCCAGTGGTGATGCCGTTGTCTCTACCTGCAGAAGGGTGTGCAATATGCACTCTTCCTCTCTCCATCCCCACCGAGGCTTCACACCAAGGCTGCTGGCATGCAAGGATGGCCAGTCACTGGCTTCCCCTCTCTTCTCTTGCCTCTCTTCAATCCATTCTCCATCCGTCATCTATGGAGGAGTCAAGCAAGCAGTGATGTGCTCAGCATGATTTGTGAACTTTTGAACAGGACCACAGAGGTTCTTAGACAGATGAAGCTGATTATTCCCAGATTATCTCCCAGTCAGATTGGTGAGTAGGCACGCGGGTATATAACACATGTCTCCTCTAGGTGAAAAGCTGATGTTAATTGCTTTGTTCTTCGAAGAGAAACATTTTTCACATCACGTTGAAGACTATCCCAGCAATGGCTTATGCTACTCAGAAGAGCACTTGGGCTCTCGTTCACTGTGTCCTTGGGTGAAGAGGAGCTGGGGCCACCATTCCCAGCCATCCTGGAATTATTGTCCTCCCCCAAGTCTCATTTCAAAGGCTCTAGACATTTCTATCTTCCTAGATTCCCTGCCCTTTCCAAACATTAACTCATATTTTTCTGTCTTTCTGGTCCCCTAAGTAGTTTTGAGAAGGTTTTCGTGTGTGTGTGTGTGTGTGTGTGTGTGTGTGTGTGTGTGTGTGCGCGCGCGCGCGCGCGCGCGCACATGTGTTGTGTGTGGTATATATTCACATATATTCATTACTTGTGAAAATTTAATGCTATTCTACATAAACCTTATTTTTCCATTTAATTCTGTCAAAGGCTCCTTTCCCATGTGAACAGGGAGTCCTTTTTGAAGTCTTAGGAGGTCTCCTCAGTTAAGATGTCCTGAAGCTGAAGGCCAAAGATTTCACTTTTATTCCAAGATATGCCTTACCTTGTTTCTGTTTGTTGAGACAATTATGCCATCTGCTTAACATATGCCAAGTGACCCAGAGAAAGATGACATCGGTTTAAACTCCAGCTCACCCTTGCTGCCAGCGGGTCACACTCTGGATGTAGGTCCTTCCGTGCCCTCCTCTGAAGGGCTTCACAGTTGGTGAGTCTTGTGAATCTGTTCTTTGAGCCATGAGACATTCTGTTAGCACTGGGAGAAGAGCAGTCTTACAGCAGCAGTGGGGTTAAAGAGGTTGAGGTGTGGGTGCGGGGTGGGGGGGATGGGGCTAACAAGTGGTTCCCAGCACCCAAGCATGGTGGCTCCCAAGGGTCTGTGTGGTGGTTTGAAAGAAAATGGCCCCTAAAAGGAGTGGCACTATTAGGAGGTACGGCCTTGTTGGAGTAGGTGTGGTCTTGTTGGAGGAAGTGTGTCACTGTGGAGGCGGGCTTTGAGTTCTCAAATATGCTCAAGCCACACCCAGTGAGACAGATCACTTCCTGTTGCTTGTGAGTCAAGATGTAGGACTCTCAGCTCCTTCTCCAGCATCATGTCTGCCTCTATACTGCCTTGCTTCCCACCATGATGATAATGGACTAAACCTCTGAAACTCTAAGCTGCCACCCCAATTAAATGCTTTCCTTTATAAGAGTTGCCATGGTCATGGTGTCTCTTCACAGCAATAAAAATCCTAACTAGGATTCCTGTAACTCCATTTCCAGGGGATCCAAGTACCCACATGCAGACCCAACACGTAATTAAAGAAATAATGTTTAAAAAGAAGCGGAGACCAGTTCCTGCCCTGCCTGCTTCTTCCTGCCCAGCAGGGCTAACAGATCTCCTCTCAAACTGGCTTTACAGGTATTCCCGCCACAACCCCTTATCCAACAGGTGACAAAGTGTGCTTCCAAAAAGCCTAGCATCGCTCCTTGACCAATTACTAAGTAAATTGGGAAGCCCGAATACCTCTTGGCATCAACATGGGAACAGTCTTTTAGCCTCTGTTGGTAACAAATGTGCTGCTTTCCAAGCGTGAGTTTCATTTCTGTCCTCTCGCCATACTTTCTGGCTGGGGACTGAGAAGGGGTGTGTCCCCGTGCAGAGGACACCCAGCCGCTGCAGGTGTGCACAAGGACCCACTGGGATGTGAAAACAGCAAGCAGTACAAGTCAACAGAACTCAATCCTTGTTTCCTAGAGACAGAACCCCCGGCACTCAGGAGTCAAGGCGGGAGGATAATTGCAAGATGAAGGCTAGCCTGGGATGCACACACAGCCCTTTCCAACAGGCTCTACTCAGTGAGTACCAAGTCTGTGAAAGGTGGTGCACTGTTTCTCACACCTGATCAAACTCTACTGACTAGGCACAGACCCCCAATGGGAAAGGAATCTTTTCTTCTAGCTTTAGAATCGAATCTATATGTTGATACAAATGTAGATTCTTCCAAAGCCTGCGGGTTTATTATTATTTTATTAAATCAAGTATCTGAACAGTAAGAATTTTCTAGGACAGCCTACTCCATTCTGATTACCATGTTACTTCTCATATCTGAAGTCATTAGACTAATTTATCTATTTTATGTCCCGATAAAATGTTAAAGCATGTATGCTTTTGAAAATTGAAAGTCAGCAGTGATTATTTTGGTTACAGCCCCACTGGCACATTTTTTTTTTTCCTGCTTAGTTGTTTATTTCTATTTCGCTTCCTTGGTGTTACTTAGGGACATTTCAGTTCCCATCAACTCCTTCCCGACGGTCACCTGTCTGCCTGCTCAAATTTCACAAGCGGCTGACTCAGGCCGCTGCTGATCTTCCTTGAAATGTGGCCTCTGCAGACATGCTCCAGGTGGCTATTTTTATAAGACCCGTCAGTTCGCCGAATCACGAGCACTGACCTGGTTACTCCGCACATGCACGGAAATGAGTGGACAGAGGTGTAGCTTTAGTTTTTCTGCCTTGCCCACAGTCAGGACAAATCTTTGTCACCCGCCAGTCCCACAGCCGCTCAGACCCAACCAAGTGAACACAGAGACTTATATTGCTTACAAACTGTATGGCCGTGGCAGGCTTCTTGCTAACTGTTCTTTTATCTTAAATTAACCATTTCCATAAATCTATACCTTGCCATGTGGCTGGTGGCTTACCGGCGTCTTCACATGCTGCTGGTCATGGCGGCGGCGGCGGCGGCTGCAGTGTCTCTCCGCCTCAGCCTTCCGCTTCCCAGAATTCTCCTCTCTCCTTGTCCCACCTACTTCCTGCCTGGCCACTGGCCAATCAGTGTTTTATTTATTGACCAATCAGAGCAATTTGACATACAGACCGTCCCACAGCACAGAGGAGAGGAGGAAGGCTAACCTCTGCTGGGCCAGGGAGGGGCCACTGGCCTGTGGCTCCTAAGAAACCGAACCATTGATCACCAAGCCATTCTTCTGAGGAAAGAGCGGAAAAGACTCTGATATGGGGAGATGTATTTCCGACATTTGTTCTAGAGCAGGAAAAGCCACAGTACGTTTTCACAGATCACTTTTCCCTTCATTTATTCATTTACCCACGCCAACAGAATGCTCATGGAGAGCAGGGGTGACAGAAATGTCACCAAATGGATGTCCCACTCTCTCTGCAGCTCCAACCCTCTCTAGGAGAATGAAACATGAACGTCCATGGTGGGCACTGAAAGCTGCGTACCTCCCGTTGTTCTGTGAGCTTTGTTTTCTACAAAATGCCAGCAGACCTCACCATGCTGACCAGGGCAGATGGTCAGAAGGGCAGCTTGCATTCCTCTGGCTGAACAATAGGCCTTCCTTTTCTGATTAGTTGATGAATTTGTATAGATAACCTTTGTCTAGCGATACTGCCCTTAAAGTGTTACAAAGTAATTTTATTTGGACTCGGGAGAGTTAACTTTTTTTTTTTTTTCAAACATTCCCCACCTTTCCCTCCCAAAATCAATCCTTTCAGTAATCAAGGTCAACCTGATTCTCGTCGTCTAAAAGGACTTAGTTAATGATTGGTGAGTCAGGAGCAGCCCTGAGATGTTGAGGTCAGAGAGGGTTCTGTGAGGGAATTCTGCTGCAGGTGACCTGTGCACCCAGTAGGGAACCTACACACCGAGGCCTCTTCATTTTAAAATTATACGTGTATCTTAGATGAGCAAGCTCCTCTTTTAAGTTCTAACATCACTACGCCACATTAATATAAGCCACCAAGTCATGGGAAGCTTACATCATCGACTTCACAGGTGGAAAATCTGACACTAATTTGAACATTTAATACTTGGAAATGTTTCCTAGTCACATGAAAGAAGTTGAAAACCAGGATAGCAATTTCGAATGAAATAAAGACAATTCACCAAGGTCCCTGTCAAAAACAGAAACATTTTTTTTTCTCATGAGAAATAGGGCCCTGCAGAGTCTACTTTCTTAGCTCTGGAGATGAATTTGGAGTGATAGCTATGGAACTGCATTAGCCAAGAAAGCCTAGGGATTATGGGAAAAACTCTTGAGGTTGGTGGGTTCTTTGAGATAAAGCAGCAAAGAATTGAACGTCTACTTATTCTCCATCCATGAAATGCCCAGAAAAAGGTTAGGATGATTTACCCCCAAATACTGTCCGAGAAACAGACTCCCATCGGCCTGTAACTGGCTGCTTCCCCTGCCGCTCTCCTTCTCTATGCAGTCTTTTGAAATATAAAATCTGCTGCAGTGGCCATAGTCGGGGGCTGCCATCCATCCATAGAGTTGAGCCCTCCAGACTTCAGCGGACAAGGAGTGAAACATTGGAAATTTGCCCCACAGAAGAAGATACACCCGGCAGAGAGTGGGGGTGGGGCTGATTTTCTGGTTCACAGTGGTTGCCTTCTCGTGGTGCCTCTATCCACTCAGTGGAAGGCTAGCTAGACCTCTGCTTCTTCCCCATAACCCACTTCTCCAGAACCTCCTTCCCTCTCTCCCATTCTCCCTCTCTTCCCTCCTTTTGGAGACAGATTCTTAACTATTTAGCTCAGGCTGGCTTTGAACTAATGATACTTCTGCCTCAGATAAGTGCTGGGATTATAGTCATGTGCCACACGCCTGGTCTTGGAGCTCTCTCTCTCTCTCTCTCTCTCTCTCTCTCTCTCTCTCTCTCTCTCTCTGTATATGTGTATGCTGTGTGTGTATGCATGCTGTACGTTGGTGCGTGCAATTGTGTGCATGTGCAGAGGCCGAGGGAACACCTGCCACCTGCCTTATTCCCGTGAAACAGCTTATCACTGAATCTGGAGCTGTAGTCGTCTCTAGTCTCTAGTCCTGCACATCTGCCCTCCACTCAGCCTAGACATCACATCAGTTTCCTGAAGATGGACCTCTTCGTTCCTGTTCTCTGTGTGGCCACACTGAATATCTTTGCTTTCCAGTCACTGTTGCTTACTGGTGTATATGTGTGTACTTGTTAGAGTGTGTACGTGTACACACACACACACACACACACACACACACACACACACACACGCCACCCAGAGGTCAACATTGGGTGTTTTCAGTAGCTCTGTACATTATTTTTCGTGTGTTTGTCTTTGAGACAGGGTCTCACTATGGAGTCCTGTAGTCAAGAACTTGCTGTGTACATTATGTACCTCAGACATCAACCTGCCTCTGCCTCCCAAGTGCTAGGATTAAAGCTGTGCACCACCATGCTTGAGGAAACAGGACTCCAGCTCAACCAGTACCCATAACTGAGAGGACCCACTTGATGTCTTTAAGGTGTGTGTTTGGGAACACTGAGGTCTCATCTTCACGTCATCTAATAATCCCCAGTCCCAGGTAACAGAAAGCAAGCAGTCTGGCCTCAGGAACTTCAGCTTTTCGGCAATTCATGGCTGGGCGTGTCCTGGCAGCCCCTGCAGCCTGTTTCAAAGGAGCAGTCAGCGGTTTCTAAGTCTTGCCTTCCGTCCGTCCGTCCGTCCGTCCGTCAGCCACCACAGAAAACACAAGCTACTTTATACCCGTGTCTGTCTTTATTCTCTAAAACTTTTACTTTTAACATTCACTTTGAAGAGGACTTTCTAGAACTTCTGCTGTCTTAATTATTTGTCCTGCAACTTTTCCAAGTACAAGCTCCTACCTGTCTCTGGTCATTCATTACTTCCTGTTACCATGGACATCTATAATATTTGGTTTGTTTTTTTAACTTTAGGTTAATTTAACTAATATCCTATAATACTGTTGCAACCAATGTATTAACAAATCTTTATTACGAAAAAATTCAAACTAAAGAAACATCATAGGAAAACATTAAAAAAAAAAAAAACCTTGGCTGCTCTGGAAACCAACAGGGGGCCTGTGATGGCCCTGTCCTATGCTGAAGCCATGGGATTTCAGACTGCTGGTGTCCTTTTGCTGGGCCATCAGTCCTCTTCCAGAGGAGGAGGGGGAGGAGGAGGAGGAGGAGGAGGGGGAGGAGGGGGAGGAGGAGGAAGAGGAGGCGGCTTGACATGTGTTGGAGGCACAGTCCAGTTCATGAATTCTCAGACTTTTCAGATATAAGTGAAGTTGGAGTCTCTGGAGCTTAAAGAACACCTAGAATTGGCATAGTCTAGCTGCTTTTTATAAATGGAAACATTCCCACCCGAAGGGAGGAAGGAGGTTTCCAGTTAAAGATACGCACAAGCTCAGAACACAAAAGAAAAGAGAGTTACAAGACCCAGGCTCCCGGTGCTGCAGGGATGATAGTGAGTCCCCACCCATGCTGGGGCAGGGCTCCAGTGATGCTGGGATGATAGTGAGTCCTCACCCATGCTGGGGTGGGGCTCCAGTGATCCTGGGATGATAGTGAGTCCTCACCCATGCTGGGGTGGGGCTCCAGTGATCCTGGGATGATAGTGAGTCCTCACCCATGATGGGGTGGGGCTCCAGTGATCCTGGGATGGGAGTGAGTCCTCACCCATGCTGGGGTGGGGCTCCAGTGATCCTGGGATGATAGTGAGTCCTCACTCATACTGGGGTGGGGCTCCAGTGATCCTGGGATGATAGTGAGTCCTCACCCTTGCTAGGGTGGGGCTCCAGTGATCCTGGGATGATAGTGAGTCCTCACCCATGATGGGGTGGGGCTCCCAGTGATGCTGGGATGATAGTGAATCCTAATCCATGCTGGGGTGGGGCATTTGATAATACAGCTATTGGAAAGCTGCTCAGGTTCCTTTAACCCAGTAACCTCATTCTCCATCAGGGCTAGACTGGAGTGAAGTCTTGTCTTTGGTGTGTCTGCTATGTCTTATCTGGGTTGCTTAGGTGATTGTCCACCTGTCCCCAGGAAAGTCACCCATTAATGAGTGAAGAAGGGAGGACAAGCCGGTGTCCCCAGCAGGGGATTTTAGACCACAGTCAGTAGAGCTGGTGTTGGAGGCACAGCCTGGGCAGTAAGAGGCTACGGGAACAGAAACAAATGTGTCTACCAGATGTCAGAGTGGAGACTAGCTGGATGGCTCACAGAAGTACTGAAAAACCCTCCAAATGATAAGGGAGGGTCTGGTGTGTAGATGGACTTTCCTCTGTCCCACCAGCCGGCTCCCAAATAACCACACAGAGACTCATTATTAATTACGAAAGCTCAGCAGATAGCTTGGGCTTGTCCCTAACTAACTCTTATAACTTAAATTAACCCATTTATATGAATCCATGTTCTATCGTGGAGTTACCACTTTTCTGTCTTGCACCTCCTCCAGTGTCCTCTCCATGTCTCCTGGTGTCTCCCCGTGACTCCCCCCCTTTTTTTTCCCCCCAGCATCCTCTCAGTTTGGCTGTCCCGCCTGAACCTCTTCCTGCCTAGTGATTGGCCAGTCAGCTCTTTTATGAAGCCCTTCAGAAGGCACCTTGGTGTGCGAAAGGATGACTCCACAGTGTGGGTGAGAGGAAGGACATCTGCAGGCTGATGGCTTCCATGAGTGTCGTGTACAGCACAGAGCACAGTGGGTGGGCACAGCCGCAGAATGCCAGGCAGACTCTACTGCAAACCACGGCTCCACTATCGGACACCTCTCATCCCAGGGCACCTTGTTTGCCATGTAAAAACCATAGTTCCCCTAACTGTAAATTAGGGGAATCAGCAACACTGGTCCACTAGGACTGTTCTTTGAGGCAGGTGCTACTAACCTGTGCCTTTTTCTTCCCCTTCTCTTCACCCTCCTCTTTGTCTCTTGCTCCCGTGGCTTCTCCTCTGCTTT